CTGTCGTATAATTGGAAGGAAAGAAGCGGAAGGACGTCAGAGCCCAGTATTTGTTTTATAAAAAAATTATTGTGCATCAAAAACTGGCGACATTATTTGTTAGTATGCTTTGATTCCTAGAACTAAAACGTAATTAACCTTTCATATACCTTGTTTATATGCCCTATTCCGATCCCACATGGCAAGTATATAAGTACCTTGCCGATTATTCGAAAGCAGTGGAGATTTCGCGGAAATCGAACTGTAGTATGGCCCTTTCATGCAGCACGCAAATCCTCAAATACGCTACGTTTGCTTTCAACGTTGTTGTCTTCGTAAGTCATTTAAATCCTCCCTGCCATGCGATTTTTAGAATGGTTTTCTTTATCAAACTAAGAATCGTATATTTATGAATATAATGAGACCAATATTTATAAAATATAATGCATACGCCATTTAGAATTTAAATATTTTTGCTCCAGAGAAATAAGCAGTTTAAGCCGTATCGGCTGTTGGAAATATTCATAATTTTCTCATTTTTGGCATTTGCTTAGCTCTTCGGTTTGGCTATCGTCATTATTGGATCGGTTGCAACAGCCTTCCTTAACAGCAATTATGGATCATTTTTGCAAGTTTCCCATGCAATACCAGTAATTGCGTTAATCGTTGGAATAATCATTGGCCTATGTGGTTTCCTTGGCTGTTGTGGAGCGCTTCAACAGAGTCGTCTTATGCTCAATATAGTAAATTCTCATTATACCATTTATTTTGTAGTACGCATTGTCATTGATCATTCTAGTTGTTGTTGAAATCATACTTTGCATTGTTCTTCTGACCAAAAAGGGGGAGGTAAGTGACCTTACTATATTTTAAACTTCAATCTTAGATTTATGATTTGATAACAAAAGGCATAAACGCGACGTTTTACCAACAATTCAATGATTCGAATGTACAGTTAATATTCAAAGAGATGCAGGACGAAGTATGTTGAATCTTTTGACATAATTGATGTTTCATAGTTGGAGTGCTGCGGTGTCAATGGCTACAAAGACTACTTGGTTGCGCATCACCCCTCGAATTCTGGGTGTAAGGTGGATGACTTAAACGAGCTGAAGACTGTGAGTTCAAATAAAGATTGACTTAGTGTGACTGTTGACTCATGTGATAAATGGCCAATCTTCCATAGCAAGCATTCGATGTATCTTTTAAACTTTTCGCTGAAAACAGATTGCTATTTCATTTTCTACATAATGCTACCAATTACGTTCTTCCCGAAAATCACTATATCAATGTATTTTTTAGGGCTGTGCACAAGCGTTCTATAACTACCTTCAAATATTCACTTTTGCGCTCCCCGTGGCCGTGATTGTAATTGGCCTGCTCCAATTTCTGGCAGCTGCAGGCGGTTGCTGTCTTGCAAATGCAATCAAAAAAGATCAGTCTGACGTTAAAGCGTGGTGATGAATTGGCACCGAATACTTATTTTATTCAGTGTTTGACGCTTCTGTCCTGAAAATATAAAGCGTCACGAAAATGTGGACAACATGAGTTTCAATGAAGTGGCTTCGAAGCCTTATTCTATCCTGTGCTTCTGTCCTAAAATATACAAAGTCATTTGAATGGAAAAATTGTTTTGAATTCGGTCGGTTGGACATGTGTAAAATCTAGAAGCTAGAGTGTCCAGTATATTTAATTTTCGAATCAATTTGGACTTAGCTATCAAACTTTTTGTCTATGTATTTCGGTTAGAAATTAAAAGAACACATGTGACCGTTGAATACACCGAACAGTTACGTTTGAACACATAAAAATTCAAATCCACTTCCGAGAATGAATAATTATCAACTAACGCTACACTCACAGTGAAACTCTCCCATGTGTTGAGCACATTGTGCAGGTGAATGTCTCCGTGCAATCGAAATAAATATACCAATGGTCATTTTACTATGCAAATTATATCGTGGTTTCTGCTGCAGCGATCGAAGGTACGAAACAGCCAATATAATAAAAAAAACACAAATGTCAAGCTTTCCCACTGTAAACGGATTTTGGCGGCACATTCTTTAATATAGAAGATAATGCAAGCGAGATTCAGACTGTTCATCAGAGGAAATGTTTGCATACTTGGAACGGGTTATTGTTGCATTCGGTTTTTGGGTATGCTATCTTAAACGTTCGTATGCCCTCGTTCGACTAATATAACGTACACTGGAGGAATTTGTAATTGATATATAGAAAACAGTACTATAGGCAATGTCTCCTAGAACGCCCTTTTTAGTGAACTTCACGTTGTTTCCAAACGATTTCTTCATGAAGATCCTCGTAGCTATTTGAATTTTTGCAAGCTAATGTTGGTCTTGGCTTAGTTTGTTCTGACCATCCGTTCGTTCGTTTAAACAGCTTTCCAGGTTTGCACTTTTGATACTATTTTCAGAGAAGCATAAGGACTACAACATTTTCTTCGCGTGACCATCAGCATTGAAAACTAGTTTTGTGTTATAGAAGCTAGAAAAGAGGGTACCAATATTAGTTCAGCGTATACGAAACCATTTTTACGTATTTTAAATGAGTGTTTATGGCTGTGGGTTGTTGTTTGTCACTCAAGGCAGTCTTCTGGCAAGAAGTGCCATAAATGCCACATTAAGAAAAAACCATTGAGTCTGATTCTTAGTCCGCAGACAGGTAACAGGGTGAGTAATACTAGCGAAAAAAAGGTAATAGTGCCACAAAAGAAAACAAGTGGCAACTTCAAGGACTAGTGTTGCCTGTGAGATGATGTTAAGTTTTTATTGATAGAAATACGGTTCTATATTGATATTTTCAGGGCTAGAATTACTTAATAGTGCCAGTACCGGCGACCTTAGGCTTAGATACAGTGGTATGGGGGGTATATCAGGCTGCATATACACGCCACCCCTCGGTGAGCGTAGTATGGGCCTTTATATTAGGCACCTCACCCCATCACTTACAGTAGATTACATATTCGAGTAAAGGTTGGAGATTGGGGGATTGCGCACACTTGACTTTGTTTATTTAGTTCTTTGGGTTCACTTTAGGCGCAAAATGTTGTTTAAAAGGAATTGAATGCCGTTCAGATCAGTACAAAGTGTGCGAAATCCAGCGTTGGTTGATATCCGAGCTATTTCCTACGCTATTAAAGGCTGCGGAAAAGACCTTCATGTGGGTGTATGTTGCACTATAAAATAGCATTCACAAAGAGTGTAAACTTTTTAATTATATTTTTTACTAAAACGGAAAATTTGTTTTGCGTCCATGAAATTGAGGGTAGTATTATTATGAGATAGCGCATTATTTTGGAAAAAGAAAATCAAATGTAGTTTAAAATATTTCGTTTTGTAAATCTGCCAAGTTTTGTGCCATAAAATTGAACAATAAACTTGTAAGGCTGTTACGTGGTATGCCCTAATTAAAAATGTACACTGCTTATTTGAAGGGTTGCAGGCCAGGAATGCGTATGAGGACTTTTTTAGTCTACAGCGCGTATATCGATTGAACAGTCAATATGAAGTAGAAGACAGTTAAGATAACAAAAATTTAAGTGCGTTGTCGCGGGACATTGCGAAACAGTTTTTTCTAAAAACCGCCGTTGATACTATTGCCACTCTGGTGTGCATTTGTTATTGTAACCAAATATACCGAAAACTGTTCTTTCATTTATAACAGAAAATGTGTCCATAGTTTTAAGGGAAATATAAACTGGCCAAAATTTTCCATTCTGATCTTAAATTAATCCCTAAAAAATAAAGTGCGCAGACATCCGAGGCCAGAATATATAACTTAAGCTTTTTTTCAAGAATTCGTTTTTTATGGAAAAGTTTGTAATAAATCATAGGCATATTCGTTCGTGACTTTTGTTGGGGACCCTCACTTTTCTCGGCAACGATTCGACATGTCTAGGTGGTTCTGAAACCATGACACACAGAGAAACCTGCATAGCAAAAAAGATGTTTAAAAGCTCTTTCTTTAGGTAAGTGCTTTTGAGATATATCTTATTTTGAAAGTAGAATATCATCATTATTTATGGTCATTCGACTGAAGCCAGTGAAAATGGTAAAGTCTTAATTAGCATTTCAAGGAAACTCTGGACCTCTTCGTAATCTAAATCCCAAAATAATTACAAAAATGTGGACGATGGAAATTACTCTTAGTGTACAAAAAATGATACGTTTACAATTGCACCTGATAATTCCATTTCAATCTAATAATTACTGACCTGCATGTCCGCATGTGAGCTTAAGAAATATATAACTCGTGTGATCTCCAATGGGCCATATCAAGCTAAGACGTGGTTGCCTTAGTCCAACGTACCTCAAGCGATGCATAAACGAAAGAAAAATCCAGCAGTTCTCGTGAAAACGCGTTGGAATACATACTCAAAATGTGGGCTGTTCAGTAACAGCCATACATTACATTGCACGTCATTTGCAAGCATCCGAAAACTTTGACAAAGGATTATTTTCCAACGTAATTTTACTTGTGCTGCTTTATTCCCTCGGCATTTTTGCGTTAACGTTCTTCCACTACATGTAAAACTTAAGCCTACTTGGTATGTACACCTGATTTCCAATTTTTTGGAGCTTTTCGCTTTGCTAAAAAGCTGGTATTTCTATAAAACTTTCAATTCCTTCATAAATCACAGTAAGCCCTATTGTGAAGGAAGACCGCTACTTTATTGCTGTAAGACTTTGGAGGCCGCAGCTTGGGCTGCGTTTGAGTA